TTTCGAAACAATGATTTCCTTCCTGAAACGATTGGAGAAGATTTGGAACTACGGACCCGGAAGAACGGTGAGTTTTTATTTTCTCTTTCCATAAATCACGATCTAAAACAAATATTTGCATTTGCTAAGAACAGTAATTTTGGTTATTGATAATTAATTTTATCTATGTGTGTTTCCTTTAATATCTTCATGTTTATTCAAGATTCACGCACGGAAATAGTAGCAATAATTAAAACGCATTTTTATGATAATTTTATTCGTTTCCGAACTTACAGTTAATAATTTATTAAAAATAAAAAAACTTGTTTTCAATTTAATTTTTGTCACCGAATATTTTAATTTAGTTTGAATTCAATGAATGATTCAAAGGTTAAAAGTTTACTATTAAGTTTATCAATGGAGAGAATAATAGAACACAGAAAGCAGCTCATCATAAAACAATTTTTATTGTTCAAAATAGAAATTGAAACTTCAAATGTCAAAATTGACAGCTGTCATTGAAAATGCAGGAATTCACTCATTTTGACATAATAGTAATATTTGAATAGGAATTAGAACGTCAAATGTCAAATTTGACAGTTCACAACAATGTTTGTTTTTTAATTAATTGCGATCAAAGATGTATAATAAAATCACATTGTCATGGAAAATTAATTGACAGAAACTTCAAATGTCACACGATTGACATTGATATTGAAAAAGCTGGTTCAATACCAATCGCTGAAGCCTAATGTTTATGCATGTCTCTTATATATGTGAGAATGTTTTTTTTTTTCTTTTTGTTTGTTTGTCGCATGAATATAGCAATTAATCGTAGGAATTCAAAGCAAAAGAAAAAAAAAGTGTAACATTTTTCCTCGCAGATCCCTGACCTTGCCTGCTGCAACAACAGTTGGCTGTTGCGTCTTGACTTCAAATAAAGTAATTAACTAAATCGAAAGCTTACATATAAATCTTTTGTTTTTTTATACTCGTCTTATTTCCATAGGCTACTAGAAAGCAAATTTGAATATTGATCGAATTGATTAAAACTCTGAATGGATTCATTAAAAAAAAGAAGCATAATTAAAAGAATTTACGAGAGATGAGCACGTGCGGTCATGAATCTTCCTTTAATTTTATTAATATATGTTTTTTTAACGGTTTTAACTGTTTTTTTTTATTATTTCGGAAAGTTTCAATGAAAATCATCTTCATAAATATTCAGTTTACGGGCGAAATTTGCATACGAATCTCTCGTTTATCGTTATGTCACTTTCGGTCATTCATTGCCTTCTTGATTACCTGCTTAATTTTTCTTCTTTTTTTTTTTTGAAATTTTTGCAACCTACTTGATTTTTACGAACTCGTTTATCTAAATTAGCGCAATTCGTATTGATTGTTTCAGCATAAACTTAATGATTTCCGATTATTTTATCGCGAATAACCTTGAACGATTTGCGAACGCTATGTAATAACTTATGATAGATACTGAATCATTTTCGAGTATAGTGCGCACAAACAATGATAGATTTCATTGAGTGATATTTCACAGATCTGAATGATTTTCGTGTATAATGCGCATATAAAGTACATATATCAACTTTTCTTTTAATTAAATGAAATTTTCTAAATTTTTAATGATTTTCGTGTAAAGTTATATGACATTGATGTCCACTTACTTTATGACTATTACGAGTAAAGATGACTAACAAGAAGTGTACTTAAGTATGTTTTATTTCATGCACATACTTGTCCTTGTAAGTTGCAATATCACCTGAAACTGTGATCAATTCAATTGAGACGCATATTAAGACTTATTAGTTTTGAAGCGTCAGAGTGTTTCTAATCTGGATTGAATGAGGATGAAGATGATGATGATTCCTGACCCAGAATTTGGTGGTCCTAAATGTATTTAGTCGGCGAAATAGAAATACAAACATAGATAGAATGAGCGAGTGAGGCCAATTTCGAGTCGTTTTTAGCGCATTCAGCGGTTATTACCGGCGGGTAACAAACTCATTCACGTCAAGTACTCCAAATTGCATTATTACAAGCGACAAACTATTTATATCCGGTAAAATTAGATATCCCTTTGGGAAGAATTAAAAGCGTCCAGCAAAACCGACGCAATTTCAAACAACTCTTCTCACTTCTCACTCATTCTAGAACTAAAACTCAACAACAATAAAAAAAAAAACACTAATTCTTATTCTTAATTCTCTTTGATTTGACAGATGTCAAATTTGTAATATTTGAAACGTAAACTTGAGAAAACAAATAATCCCTAAACGACAATTTGACAGATGACATATGTCAGTTATGTAATTGACGTATTCGTAATTGAAATTGTTTTACGTGTCCGAAATCGCGATGTGTGAGGTTGATGGAGTGCAGGAGTCAGCACGTACACCCGAACACCGTCACCGACGGGTCAACGTTCTTGCATTTCAACAATGGGATTCCGGCGGATTCGTTGCGTGCAATTGGCATTGATCATGGAAAACAAAAAGAGAGAGAGAGAGAAGAGAAACAAACATATGAATCGCGTGAAACTGTGTGTCGTAACGTTGTTTACATTCCACTAATTAATAAGCATTTTCCGAACAATTTGGAAAACGCGCGTCCTTGGCATTGCACCTATATATTTATAAATGCAGCGAGACGCATTCATCCATGCTGATTACGCCTTTCATCCAATCTGATTATGTTAATTCGCGTTAATTATCTTGAGCGTGGAATCCTGCTCGTGCACGGAATCCTCGGTCACCATTATGCATCCCGAGATGGCGCCTCGAGCGATTCGCACCTTACCTATGCAACATATGAATCATCTGTCAAAATCATGTGTCAAAACAAAATTTTGAAACAGGTTTATTACATCGATCGAATAGAATCTGGTGCATGTTACTAGACAAAAATTGTTCTCGGTTACCATTACATCCTGAGATGGCGCCTCGAGCGATTCGCACCTCACCTATGCAACATATGAATCATCTGTCAAAATCATGTGTCAAAATCATCTGTCAAGTAAAATAGACGTCAAAACAAAATTTTAAAACACGTTTATTACATCGATTGAATAGAATCTAGACAAAAATTGAATAGTGTGTGATCACCTTGTAACAATAATATATTCAATTTAAAATAGTTAAACTCTAATCGTAATTAGTACACGATAACAAAATCCAGGAAGCTGATGGACTGACATTGACTTTCGAAAGTGCTCCAATTTTAAATCAACAAAATTATCTCTTTTTCTTCACATTTACTAATTACCATTTGCTATTCTTGACCCAAACGATTATTCCCAATCTCACGTATATTAATACCATTATTAATCCTAGATGGTGCAACGACTTAATCTGAACCTCTATATGCAACCCTATAAACCATCCAGTAAACATACTTTTTAATTATGTAATAACTTAAGAATTGACTAGCGAAAGTGTTCCAAATTGATTATAATTATTTTCTTTAACCAATTACCATTTGGAATTATCGATTTGTTCCACTATTAACACTAGAAAGAGCTTCAATCTAATCACGATCCATATATGCAACCCTACAATCCAATCTGTAAACAAACTTATTAATAGTATAATAATAATTATGAGTAGTACCAATTTAAGGGAAAAAATAAATAAAACTGATTGATTGATTTTATGACTTACATTAGTACCACTATTAACCCTAGAGGGCATTTCTATGCAAATATGCAACCCTACAAACAACTCTGCAAATATACTAAGTATACTAATTATTGTAATTATCTGATTAGTGACAAGAAATGACACTTTAAGTAAAGAACTAAATCATATACAGGAATTGATACAGACGACATTGACATTTCTAAAGTGTTCCAATAAAATCGATCACGTAATTTTTCCTCATAAAATTGCTAATTACTAATTGCTAATTACCGCGGAGAACGCTCGTTCCAATTGGATATTTACGCGGTTATTAATACATTCGTATTATCCGCCGCGATGTAAACAAACCGGACCTCCGTTTATTATTTACATTCGAATCAATCGCGTTTTTCCTTCAACCGTGCACAGATTAAACGTTTCACATCAATCAATAATAATATTAACAAGATTTAAAAAAAAAATAATTTATCCAATTCAGAACATCGAGAAATACTATTGTTTAAAAATAAAAACAACAACAACGAAAGATTTGTTATTTCCAACAATAGAAATTCCAAGCGTTTATTAATAATTGCAAATTAAAAAAAATTGGCAATGCACCAAGTTGAGAACCTCGAGGAACATCTGGTTTAAGTATTCCAGTCTTTCGTTAATAATAAATAAAAAAGATTGCTTATTTTGATGCGATCTACTTCGTATTCGATTGTTGCCTATTTATAAATCGATGCTGTTGATCTTTCTCCACAAACACACCCGTAACTCTATGTATATGCATCAGTTGGCCGCTGCTTCGGCAATTTGTTTTTGTTTTTTTCAGTTGAGTGTTGTGACCGCTGTTGCAAAGTTTTGTTTCAATCTAGACATGTCAAAATCTCATGAGGTTAGAATTTTACATATTTATAATTAATTTGTTGATTGTGTTGATTAATTTGTTAAAGATTAAATTAATCTTGTTAATTTCATTCATACGTTAACAATAAACGATGTTGAAAATGCGAAGCTAACGAAATGTCAAACTGTAATTGTGTCAATTTTGACATGTCAACGTCACCTCAGGTTAGCATTTTCTGTCCATCCATTAACAAATGACGTTTATTTTGACGTTTAATTAGAAAATGTTGTAAAGTCAAAAAAAACAAAACGAAATTGTGAATGTTTATTTATGATCAAATGCGTATTATTGGAGCACGTGTAAACAGAACTGAATCAGAGAACTGAACTGAAACAGAGATAAATTTGAGCTACTTTTTTTTATGTGGATTGGCAGGATAACAACATGTTGTTGTGCCAAGTGGATTCGTTTTGTTTTGTTTTTTTTTCATTCTGTTCGTGCGAATGGTAGAGAAGTCTTTTCGCCGTTTGCGAAACGCCCAATTCCGAAAATAGATTCATCCCGGTAGAAAGTGGAAAACCGCAAAGGTCGCTAAGAAGAAGTGTTTGTCTCTTCAAAACACACACACATACACGACTAGGATGTGGTTTCTTGCGGCGATATCTCTCTTCTCCATCCTATTAGAGCCAATTTGGACTTGTCCTGCATATCGATGTAACATAATCATCATCATCATCATGAGCATCGTGCGGTCGACGGCGATAAACGAAACGTGTAATTTCCGAACGCGAAAATCACCCATCCGCAATCATCATAATCATCATCATGATCAACATCGGTTAATCAGTGTAATCATCATCGCGGCTGCCGCGCGTGCAAATCGAGTTGTACGGTCAAGATCAAGGATTGCGGCGTGCAACAAAACACACACACACACACAGCACACTCGATTATTATTACACAACACGTCGCCGCAGCAACCGCAACGCTTTCGACTATCCTCTGCATTTAGTAATCCAATTAGATTAGACAACAACCATTTCTATTCAACTTTAATATAAAACCACAATTATTATCTAATCTATTTTAAATCTTTTGATAATCTAATTGTTATATTCACATTCAAATTTTGATTATTGGACCAAGTACATTACCTCGAGGAACTGTACACTAATAATATATTAATTTGTTCAAATTAAATTTTCCATATAATTTTTTTTTTTTATTTATTGGACCAAGCACTTTACCCCGAGGAACACCCACGCGATTATCAAATAATAATCTATTTCAATAATTACTCAATCTTCATTTTTTAATCATAGATAATAAGATTGCATGTTCCATTTTTTTTTGTTGTGTTCTATTTGATAATTTTGTTTTGATAATAATTAGTTTTTTTTTAATTTCACGTCGATCCCTAATTACTCGGGATTAGTTACAAATGAGACCCAGCACGTACCCTAGCGGAACATCTTATTATTATTATTTTTTAACAACACTTTATGTGTATATAATGATACTAAGTGCGTATCCAACTTAACTAATTAGTAGTTATTACATATATTTTTTAACTACATATGTTTGCTGATAAAAAAATATGTTTTTTTCAGTATATTTCCTAATGTTACTAATTAGCAGATAGTGAGTGCATATTGAAATAATGACAGTCATTAATAGATAGTTGATATTTGCATTGTTGTATTGTCAATTTTAAACATATTTGTGGAAAATGTATATTTAACTAATAATTTGAATGACTATCATTTTTTACGTGATGAACAGTTTAACTTAATGTAGATTTAAATTATAGTTTTTAGTCAATTTGAAAAATAAAGATTACTAAAACGTTTTTTTTTTTGCATGCATTTCCTGTGGAAAACCATATTTTCTTACTGATTGACAGATCATGTAATTACATATAACCGCATATTCTAGTTAAAATATTAATTTCAAAACGATAAGTGTACGTAATAAAACTTAATGCATTCCTTTGTAAAGATCACTAATCAATTACATTTATTCGTTTTTTTTTGTCATATATGACTTAACTTCATCTAACATAACCTAAAATATTGACTTTGTTGCATCATCATGATTTAATTGTCAAATTAGTTCTAAATTAAAGCAGTTGCTTAGTTACGTAAATATTTTTTTTAATAAATTTGTTCTGACATTAGTTCTGTTCCAATTGTTTTTTTTTTTGATGATTTGAAAGCATAGCTAACTTTGTGTTTTTTTTTTCATATTAAATTTGCAGGCGTTGGCTGCCGTTTGCGCGCATTCAGTTTCGATCTCGATCGGGATTTCGCAGGGATACAGCGCGATCCTGATACCGCAGCTGATGAGATCGCAGGATTTCGAAGTGGACACCGAGCAGAGTTCTTGGCTAGGTGAGTGCACCGATTCCGAGGGTCATTTCGGATAGGAAGCAGGAAGAAGGAAGTCTTCCGTTCGACCTTGCCCTCCTTTTTGCTTTTCACCGCAACGTGCAAATCACTTAACTTTTTTTTCGTTTCTCTTTTGCAGCCAGCCTCGGGGCGATCACCAATCCTCTGGGTTCGATCCTCTCCGGTCTTCTGGCCGAATGGTTAGGAAGGAAGAGATCCATTCAGCTGAGCAGTCTTCCGTTCTTGCTGGGCTGGTTGTGCATAGCCTTCGCACCTACAATCTTCTGGTTATATGCGGGACGTCTGATCACAGGAATCGCTGCAGGTATTTTTTTTTGCTTATAACTCGAGAAATATCAACAACATATTCATTATTCAGCAACCAAATCAAAGCTAAATATTCACTCTTTCAAACGTGTGGCTGTAATTCCTGTTCAAAGTTAAAAAAATGCTCGAAAAAGCAGTGTATTCACATTTCATTGATTTTCTCGAAAACTATAATACGTAGAATGAATCCAA